AGAGAGAGAGAGAGAGAGAGAGAGAGATATGGGTGGGGGGAGTTATGTGGCTAGATCATTAATGTGCATGTGTATTTAATATTTAGGTAAAGTCTATTGTGTACATCTATAGATGTTCATGGTTAATACAACAAGCAAGATAACAAGGTCTAGAAGGTTAAGTATTGAGGAACTATGGGCATTTTAACCCATATGTCATGGATGGCATCATATGATGCAAAGTGCAATTGATGGCCGATCCCTTGGAGCAATGGGGAGCCGTGCGGCCTGGGAGCTAAGTGGGCCAAGGGATATCAGCCATCAAGCTGGTGTCCCCCAAGTAGCCTTCCAGGGCCCAGGCCTGCTGCCAAGCATCTATTCTTGCTATTGCAAGAATAGATGCTTGGCACCATTACTCACCATTCCCATGCTATTGGCTTATCAGACGGAGATTGTTTATCCCCTCTAGTTATAGCAACAATCATATAGTTAAGTTTTATGGCCCCAGCACATAAAGTGAGGTTAAACCTAACCTTTTTAAAAGTTTATATAAAAATAACAAAATAAAATCTTTTAGGTGCCTAATGTTGTCCGCAAACTACCAAATAAACCAGGTGCAAACGGGGGAATTGCCAACTGGTGGCAGTATTCCCGCCTGTGTGGTCACTTGCCAAATTGGCAATTCAGTCCCGAATGGGTTAAGCAAAGAATCTTTCAGGCTTGAAATTTAATAAAGCCATTCGTGTGGATTAGCAACACTGCTCAAGCTCTAACAGTCATTTTAAGCAGTGAAAGGTGCAGTTCTTGGCCTTTGAGCAAAAATTCTTGACCAAGTGAACCCCTGCTTAAAATGCCATATATATTATACACAAATCACATAAGGTAAGCTGGTGGCATGCTATAACCAAATATAATATTCATAGGGATACACAAAAAATATTAATGATAGGCAGTTTAGAAGAGGAATTAAGAAGTAGGGGAGAATAATATACTATAAACTAAATGATGTTCCACAAAGGTTGAAGATGCTCCACAGATTTTCATGAACTGTACTCCCTGGATATCATTTTTCTGTCCACCAACTTTTTAAACTTGCCCAAGTCTTACCGTAAGAAGCATGGATGGATCAACATTAAATGTTCCTGATGAAAGGAGATCCTGCAGTGAGTCAATGGTGGTCTGCATATCATCAACATGATTCTGCAGGTCCTGCCTGTTGCAATAAAAGAAAGGACTAGTTAGTGGAACTGTCTTTAGTTTGGTCAGTGTAAATTATCCAAGAAAAGAAATCAGCTTACAGTCAAAATGACAATGAAAGTTATTTTGAAATTATGCATAAGTAGAGAAAATATATTGCAATCTCATGGAGAGTAGTTTGATTAGTACTACCAGTGCTTAAAAAAAATAATCAAAAACTGTCTTTGAGCAGCTTTACTCTACCTATACTAATAACAACATATCCTTTTATTTTACTTTAGTATTGATCATATATAGTCATGGGGGAAACCATTGTTAATTTGCACATTCACATTTAAGTATAATCTCTTACCAGGTTGATTTCATATAAATCAACATCCACAGTCAAACAAATAGGTGACTACATTTGCAATATCCCTGAAGAATGTATGAATAAAATCATGAAACTGAAGAGAATTAGCTGGAATGGAGAGGAGAGAGAGGGGATGGGACAGGAGAAAGGCAGGGCGGGAAGCAGATGGAGAGAGAAAATTTCAACCAGATTTAAGCTTGACAAATTACTGGCAAGTCTCTAACCCTTCATTTTCACACAAAACATACCTAATTTTCTCAAAGCAGTAATGCATTTTTTCTATATATTTTTTGCTTTTTTTTTTTTTTTTGTTTCCCTGGGTCTGAATTCTAAGCAACACTAAGTGACGCACAGTCCCACTGCAATCCAATATCAACTTGATGCTGCTGGGGATGGCACGTACATATACACCATGCCCACTGTAAGCTTTTTTTATCAATTTTCTTTATATATAGATGACTCCACAAGTAA